AGGGAGTGACATGGTCCAACCTGTACTTTAGGAAGGTCAATTTGGTAGCTGAGTAGGGAGGGACAAAGCAAGGAGACCAGCCTGCAGGCTACTGCAATAATACAGATGGGCAGTGATAAGAACCTGCATCAGAGTGGTGGCAGTGGCAGAGGAGAGAAGAGGGGGTGTTGAGAGACTTCAATAAGGTAGAATTGACTAGACTTGGAAACATATTGGATATGGGGGGAGAGGGAGAGAGGAAAGTGGAAGGTCACAACCAGGTTGCAAGCCTTGGTAACTGGGAGGGTGATGGTGTTCTCGACAGTAAGTTGGGAGGAGTGGAGAGCTTGGGGGGAAAGATAATGAGTTCAGTTTTGGACACGTTTAGTTAAAGATGTATGTAAGACATCTACAGGATTCAATTTCTTTTTATTGTTTTTTCCATTCACATTGTTGTATATTGTATTTCTGACCTTGTTTTCTTGAGTTGGCACCAGTTGGTAGAAGTCTTCCCATGCTTCTCTGAATTCTTCGTGTTTGTCATTGCTTTTTTTGCACAGTAATATTTAATTATACTCATTTGCCACAGCTTGTTTAGCCATTGTAGACACCTACATCATTTCTACTTCTTTGCTATGTAAAAAGGGCTACTAAAAATATTTTGTCATATTTATGGCTTTCTGTCTTTGACCTCCTTGGGGTACATTCCTATCAGTAGGCTCTCTGCATCAAAAGATATGGCCATTTTAGTCACTTTTTTAAAAGCATATTTCCAAATTGCTTTCCAGAATGGTTGGATCAATTCACAACTCCACCAACATGTATTAATGTCAGGTAAATGTATTTTTGCCAGGTCTTGTTAAGTGTACTCCATCTCTAGCCAGGGATGCATCTTTCCTATATTTTAAACTCTGGTCCAGAAAAACAAAATCCATAGAGGAATAGGGTATGATTCTGGGTTAGGATTCTAGTCCCTTGAGCAACTCAAAAAAACAAGGCAAAGTTGAGTCCTACATAAATTTGGAGACTAGGGAAGAACTCCAGTATAGGGAAACAAGAAAGGATCCAATTACTAGAACTGGGCTATCAGGAAGAAGTTTTAATTAAGAGACAAGGCAAGATCTGTTCCTGAAAGTAGGGTACAAAATCAGAGTAGGATCAGCAAGAGAGAAGGTAAGCTAATACATTGCTAGGTATAGGCCCTGTGGTTCAGGTCCCAGGTGGTCATTATCACCCATCATTCATATAGAATTTGAATCAAGGACAGGTCAGGGACCAGGAGAGGGTAAGGCAGGGGCCAAGAACCTTCCCTGAAGCAACAAGTTGAGTACTGTAGAAGAACCGAGGCGGCGGTGGTTAGGATGAGTTTGAGAGTAGCAACCAGGACCTTTTGTTTTTTAAGTTAAACGTAATTAAAAAAAAAAAAAAGACGTATTTGTTTTTTAAAGCATAGAGACTTTTTTTTCTTTCAAGTTCTTTCTCTTTTCCTATCCCTCCCCTACTCAATGAGCATGCAAGGAAAATGAAACCGGGGGCAGCTAAGTGGCACAGTGGATAGAGCACCAGCCCTGCATTCAGGAGGACCTGAGTTCAAATCCAGCCTCAGACACATAACACTAGCTGTGTGACCCTGGGCAAGTCACTTACCCCCCACTGCCCAACCAAAAAAAAATAAAAAAACATATTTGGGGCAGCTAGGTGGTGCAGTGGATACAGCACTGGCCCTGAAGTCAGGAGTACCTAAGTTCCAATCCAGCCTCAGACTAAACACTTGACACTTACTAGCTGTGTGACCTGGGGCAAGTCCCTTAACCCCAATTGCCTAAAAAAAAAAAAAAAAAAA